GCAATTAAGTAGATTTATTTACATATTGGTAACGTGAGAAATACATTGGTAACATGAGTGGCGTTTTATATAAGAAACCAATCTGTGGAAATCTGCTCCCTACTTTAAAAAAACCCTAAAAATAAAAGCCTGTGAAGGTCACTCAAGCAGGAACGAAAAGCTTCACCGACGATTGACATCTCCCCAAACTTTCAGGGGGGTATGTAAATAGGCAAGGCCAAGCTCCAGCGCTCAGAACAAGAGGCAGCAGGTAAAAAAGGGGTAACTGGAGCTTAGTCCACGCTGGCTTTAAGCTCATCTCCATATTAATAGGTGTTGCTTCAGCTGCTTTCCAGAGGAGAGCTCTGCAGTGCAGCTGTAACCCATCATGCCCCTTTGACAGCAGCCTAAACACTTACGCCTGCATTTCCATTTTGCTGCAGCTTCGAACCGTTGCTTCCATTTATCACACAAAAAGGGCAGCTGGGGACTCTTAAGTAACACAAAGCTCAGAGAAGTGATTCACCTCTTGTCTCCGGAGCTGCCTCGCTGCCAAGCTCCTCTTAAAACAGCTCCAGAGATGCGGAATTGCCTCGACGTCAAAACGCACCTTGATTTATAGAGCTTTTGAGCCTCATTAATACACACCGGCTTTTCAACTCTTCAGCATTTTTGGCTGGGTTTATCACAATAATTTCCTCAATAAATCAGGAGATAAGTGCAGTAAAACATCTCCAGGAGCCTTCAGGGGACTCCCTTTAGGGCAGGAGGCTCTACCTGCAGGCTACACGCTTCTTGGATCATTTCCATGTAGGGTTAAGCATCCAGCAAAAGCAGTAATGCCCAGTTACACACTTCTCTACAGTGAAAAAATGAATTTTCAGGTCAAAGTCAGCCTTTCTGTATCACTGCTCAGTGAGGAGCTGCACTTGTTGCACCCCCAGATTGATGGGGTGCAATAAGAAAGAAAATTATTCAACCAAATGAGCAGGACTGCTTTTAAATAAGTGAGAAGTTAATACAATTTACCTATTTTTTTAAATACAAGCTGTGCTTTTCTGGTCTCTGAATTGCCACGAGGACAGGATGGGGGTTTGAGCAATCTGGTTTGGTGGGAGGTGTCCCTGCCCAGGGCAGGGGGGTTGGAACTGGATGATCTTTAAGGTCCCTTCCAACCCAAACCATTCTATGATGCTATGAGCTTACACAACACTCAGTTCCCAGCCCCACAAACAGAAATCCATCCAGCACTTACACAACACTCAGTCCCCAGCCCCACAAACAGAAATCCATCCAGCAAATATCAAAGCCAGACCATTTCATTAGAGGAGAGCAAAGAGCTGCTATAAACCAGGGATAGATTTCAACCAGTCAGAGATGAAGATCTCAGTAACTGGAACCTCTTATTATTATTTTTTTTTTTTGACACATTAATTCATATATTATTCCTTTACAGGAAGATCTGTCATGGGCCTGAAGTGAGCAGAAATTAGATCATTTTCAAGAAAACAGCCTAAAGAATTTTAGAGATTATTTCTGGGGAGGGTAAACTTAACCATGATCGAGTTTCCCAAATTGCTATCATCTATTTTATTACCCAATTCACACACAAAGTCATGCTGCAGGTCACCCCTCAGAACAGGCACACAACATTCAGAGACACGTCGTGCAAGCTCAGTTGCTTCCAGTTATTTTCCACTCCCATCACAAGGTTACTTACACTTTTCTGATGAATTCTACAAAAGGTTGTGTACGGAGCCAGGAACTTCGTGGACACATTTTCGTGAGGACAAGAAATGAGAATGCTTTTCTAGAGGAGGGGGAAAGAATGAGAAGTGCTGTTAGTCCTACTGAAACACACAGGCTGCCAAGGTAGAACCTATGATCTGGACTCGGTGTGGTCTCTCACAGCCTGAAGACTGATGGAAAGCGCAGCATTGGACTTGTCTCCTTAACTCTCCTCAAGATGCAGGCCCCAGGTGGCCAGTGATGGCCACTATGGCTTGGTCAGCCATAACACACAACCCCAGCCCAACTATGGGGTGCTACGGGGCACTGCACAGATGGGTGGCCCAGAATATCTGGATAGGATCATGTAGTCGAGTACTGTGTTCAGTTTTGGGCCCCTCACTACAGGAAAGACATTGAGGTGCTGGAGTGTGTCCAGAGGAGAGCCACCAAGCTGGTGAGGGGTCTGGAGAACAAGTCCTATGAGGAGAGGCTGAGGGAACTGGGCATGTTTAGTTTGGAGAAGAGGAGGCTGAGGGGAGACCTCATTGCCCTCTACAACTACCTGAAAGGAGGGTGTAGAGAGGCAGGTGTTGGCCTCTTCTCCCAAAGGACGAACGACAAGACCAGAGGAAATGGTCTGAAGTTGGGGCAGGGGAGATTTAGATTAGATATTAGAAAGAATTACTTTCCTGAGAGAGTGGTCAGGCACTGGAACAGCCTGCCCAGGGAGGTGGTGGAGTCACCATCCCTGGAGGTTTAAGAAACGTGTAGACATGGCTCTTCAGGGCATGCTCTAGTGCCCAAGGTTATTGGTTTATGGCGAGGTGTTGGGTGTGGGGTTTAGTTGGTGGGTGCGGTGTTTTTGGTGGGCGTTTGGTGTGGTGTGGTTTGTATTTGTTTGGTGGGTGTGGTTTTTTTGTTTTGTTTTGTTTTGTTTTGTTTTGTTTTGTGGTTGGACTCGATGATCTCAGAGGTCCCTTCCAACCACTAAGAGTCTGTGATTCTGTGATGCTGCATCCCAGGACAGGCTGGACCCCATGGAGAGGTCGGGAGTCTGCTTTTTTTTTTTTTTTTTGTGGTTGGACTCGATGATCTCAGAGGTCCCTTCCAACCACTAAGATTCTGTGATTCTGTAGGGGACTGGGTGACAGCTTTAAGCTGCTATTTTATGGCATAAAAGCATCGCCCCTTCGCGTGTGGAAGGTGGCTACCAACCCCTGCTCCCCCCACCAAGCCCTGGCACCTTGGTGACTTCCCCAACCACGAAGCCCTCGGAGGCAGCGATGTCGGGGACGCCCTCAGTGCTGAGCCCGCGGCGGGTCAGGCTGCCGTACAGCGTCGGCTTCCCTGCAGGGAGAGAAGCCATCAGCTCGGCCACCCCTCAAACCCCAGACCCCTTCCTCAGCTCCCCTTCCCCTCACACTCCCTTAAACCACAGCCCCCTACAATAGCCCTCACCTCCTCCTAACAGAGCCCCCCAGCCTCCCTTAACCCCTCTCTTAACTCACATCCCCCTCCCCAACCACCCTCAGCCCCTCATGAAGTACAAGACACCCCCCCACAACCACCCTCACCAGCTTCTAACCCACAGAGCCCCCCAACAACCCTCAGCCCCTCCTAAACCACAAGGCATCCCCCCCAAACACCTTCACAGGGCACCTCCCAACCACCCTCAGCTCCTGAGAAACA